GCTGGATTGTTTAGTTTTTCGGGACTATCATTTTTTAGGTACATATGGCTTCTACCATTAAACTCCTTTTCCTGTTGCTGCTGCAGTAATTCACATAAGTGTGTGCTTGGGTGGGCCAGGGGAGGGGAAGCAAAGATTTGTGTGTGTTTTGTGCTGTGGAAGCATATGCATTTCTGAATGTCTGCCCGTGATTTTTTCTCAGTGCTTTCATGTGTGAGAGGGACAGATAAATGGGAACTTTAGCATGAAAGTGGGAATGTAAAAGCAGACACTTACCTGTGCAGGTGAGCACGTACACGATCTTTATATCCATAAGCTGCCTGTCTGTGAGGCACCACATGCGTGCGCGGGTGTATGTGCTGTTGTATAGCAGCATCCAGGTGTAAGCCTGATTATCTTCCCACACATCTTTTAACTTGTGTGGAATAAGCTGCACATACAGCTGACGTAGGTGTGCCTGGACTTTTCACACTTTAAGCACATGCAGAGTCCTTAGTCCTCCGTGTGAAGAAAATCTACTCAAAAAGTGACTTTATCTCTGTCTTTAGTTTATTTTGGTTGAAATAAGAGCCTCTGATGAGGAAAAATGTAGCAGAGAGCATATATTTTCCTGCCCACTGCATGTCTGGACAGCATAGCTGAATGTATAGGCTTTGTATGCCTGGAGCTGGTGGGTGAGCTGTTCAGGCCAGGACAGAGAGCCTGTCTGTGTCTTAGTCAGTACATCATTCCTGGCTTGCTTTTTCTGCAAAGAGTCACCTAAATCTTTAAAGAACAGAGGCAGCTTGTTGGAGTAGAGGAAAGAAATTCTGTAGCTCTGCTAGCTCATTTTTTTAGTATCTCTTGAATCTTTCTGAGATTAAGGATGTGGTTCCAGGCATGCTAGAGTTTTTTTTCTACTTTGAAACCAAACAAAAGGGCCTAGCTATAGATAAGGGTATGACAAGGAAAGTTAACCCTTAGGTTTCTAGTAAACTTTTGGCTTTATTTCCAGCTTAACTCTGTCTGGAGTGTGACTGGATGGCACTGTCTCCCCTTCTTTAGAATGAAGAAAAAGACTTTAATGTCTTCCAGCGGGATCATCAAATGGAGTGAAGCGCTGCCAAGTTCAGTCTGAGCTGCAGGGCCCAGTGATTAAAAGCAGGCCTGTGCCTTGAGGAGCTGGCGCAGGAGGCTGTGTGTGACTGGCTCCGCATTGCTTCTCCTTGCAAGGCAGGGCAGTCTCTGTCCAAACCGGAGATGTTGTCATACACTGGGAGTTTCAGGGACATTTTACTACATCACTTTTACAAGCTCTGAGACCTGACGGAAATGAGACAAATGATACAGAGCCACAAGACACCAGTTGCTCAGTTTGCCCTGTGTGGTGCTGGGAGACTGAAGTAGGCACATCTGCTAAGTCTGTTGTTAGTGTGACTGAGAGGGTCCAAGTGATAATTCTCCTGAACTTCATCAAGCAGATGCCCAAATGAAAGATTTCTGCAAGCCTGGAACTGTCAGCATCTCAGATTTCTCTTTGACAGTCCCTTTGCAGCCCCACTCCATAAGTAGCTCTTAGCTTGTTCTTTCTATGAACCTTAACACTGTTTTTCTTTTCTAAGCCATGGACAAGTTCTGCAGCCACTGTACAGATGAACAATTTCTCCAAGGCCAACTTTCCAGTCTTACTAACTGCAACTCTGTGCTTTTTCTCTCTTAACACCAACCATAATGTTCCTACTGCCAAAAGACTTGGCCTGGGTGCAGTCTTTCTCCTGAGCAGCATCTGTGGTGGCCCCTGTGTATGGCTCAGCAAAAAAAAAAAAAGTAGGATAGAGAGAAAGTATGGAGCTGCAGTGTAACTGAAAAACATAACAAGGGGAAAGTTGCAGTTAGCAATGGACTTCACTTGGGTGAAATATTTTGTCTGAGCAATGTTTAGTTATCCCTTCTGATGGTTCCCTGGAAAATTAGGGTTCAAGTTCAAGGGAGAGAGAAAGGCATAGATCTGGAGTTGGTTCGAAGTTGGTTTGGGCAGCAAAACCAGGGTGGAAGGCAGCCGAGAGAGCTGGGCTGTGAGAAATCTTTCACCCTGGCAATAGCTTGAGTCTTCTTCCCACCAAAAAATGACCTATGCAGACTGTGTGATCTCACTAGCACAGCCCTTCAGCAGACACTGTCACGCAAGAAGCAGCGCATGCTTGTGCCAGCTCCTTTCACTCATCCTGTGATAAGCAGATCATCTTCCTTGGTCATGTTTGGTTTCATGCCTGGCTTTTCCTGTTACTTGTTTGAAATGGTCTGGAGGGAGGTGAAGAATATTGCAGTATAAGAATATTTCAGTGCCTTCATTTCCTCCCAAGACTGTTGTTTTCATCAAGGAGAAAAATATTACTGACATCAACGTGTGAGGAGGAAAGATGGGATCCCCAGCATCTGGCTGTGCAGGAGACACCCAGAGTAATGGTGATACTGTGCTTGTGAAGGGTCCATCTGCTGCTCCATCTGAGTCTCAAATGACATCACCCTTCTAACTCTGTTACCTTAGCATCACATTCCTTATTCTCTGTGTTGGTGGTCTCCATTTGACTGTAGTCCTCTTGTCTCCAGAAGTCACTCACAGGTAGATTGCACCTACAGAAAGCTACTGCTGTTGTGATCCAAATTGTCTGTGAAGGACGAGGACTGATGTTGCCTGAAATGTGTTGGAGATGTTGCTGAGCACAGACCAATCATGGCTGGGGAAAAGTAGATTCTCTTCAGTGGAGATTATGCATGCAGTTGTTGTGTGTGTGCTTGCTTATGTGTGTGACACTGCCTTTGGCCTTGATCTAAGTGTAGAACATCAGAATACAAGCTCACAGAAGAACATTGTATATGTGCTTTATGCCTGGGGAGTGCAGAGCCTTTACCTCTTTCCCAGAGTTTTCTCTGGACAGACGCATTAGGAAACAGATTCAGCAAGTAGGGATTTGAGAAAAGAGGGCAGCTATTGCCTTGACATGTGTCACATCCTGACCTCCCTGAATTTATATGTCTTGCATCTAGAAGAGTGGACAACATGTATCATTTTAAGGAAAGAGATATGCCCCATCATGACAGCAGGGATTACATGATGGGATTATAAAGTAGTCTGTGCAAAAGCAGAAAGAGATTCCCTATCCTAGAAACTGACTTCAGAGACACTCAACTCAGTGAAAATTCAAAGAGATTAGAAATAAGCTCTAGTAAAACCTTTACTCTACAATAAACCAAACATATACAATGATAAAGATAAGTCACTCCCATGCTCCAGGGCATGCCCTTCTGCCAGGATGAGGGAATTTCCTTTGAGACTTCTCATGGCCCTCCGGCTTTGATACTGTAATGCAGTTGTGTAGGCTGTGGTGTAAGGAAAGTTTCTGTCTTCTGATGTATAACAAACAGCCAGGGAAAGGAAATTGGTCTTCAGGATTCTTCTTGCAGCTTTCGTTTGATGAGTTGAAACTAATAATGAGAGGCTTGTTTCACTTAGGATTCAGCAGTGTTGGACTGAATATAGAAAGCAGATATGGTGTCTCCTATGAAGAACAGTGGTCAGTGGTCAGGGAACTCCTGATACCAGGAGTTTTCAACGTCTCATGAATGTAGCCCTGGAAAAAAAAAAAGGAAGACATGGTCACTAGTGGGGGAAGGTAAATAGAGCCTTCAGAAATTACTAGATTCCCTGGCCTGGTGTAAGTACATATGTGCAAGATTAAATACTGCTTCTGGCCATTGGGTGTGAAACAGTTTGACTCCAGTATTGCATGCTGTTTTATTTTTCAGACCTGCAGGTTTAACTGAGTGCTGAATGAATTATCTAAAGATCCTTGATATCTGTAGAGAACTTAACTTTGAGAAATCCCTGAACAGAATTTCCTGCCTGTTCTAGTCTGATGTCAGCTGAAATCCTGAGAGTTGATTCTGAAATTCTGGGAGTAGATTCTGGGATTACTGAATTTTTATTGCCAAAATATCATTCACTTGGATACTATGCTCCTTTACTCCACCAAACATAGTAGGGTGCTAGAACTAGAGTTTCAGAATTCAACTCAGTGGCAGTCCTTTTAGATGGAGCAGTCTTCTAGTAGTAGGGATTGAACTAAGATCTCTGGCTCTTACAGCCTGAGCCTCCTTCTGTGCTGCTGAAACACCTGATGCCAGTAGTGGCATTCAGCAGCTGGTATTGACAAGGAACTCCAGACTCCCCAAAGAAACAGATAGTGCTTTGTAACTAATGATATATGTCTACAGTAGTTCTGAGTAAAGAATTAATGTAGGCCAGTCTGGTTTTACAGAATATGGTGCTTCTCATATTTTCAAGATGCAGGAAGTACGGCACACACTTTTTAGTAGGAAGAGCAATGGATTTTGCATGCATTTTACTGTGTTTTTTTATTTTTATTAATATTCATTCAACAAGTTTAATTAAAGGAAAAGAAATAGAGTCTCCCAGGATGGTGGAAGATTTTCACAATATCCACTTTTAATGTTGATAGCTGTACTCTGCTGTGTGAGCAGTCCCCTCCCAGTGGGATTGCTGCCAGTTGGGCTGGCCAGCTGCACACCAGTGGAGGGCAGCTGTGTGACAGCCAAAGCAGTGGGTGCATTCAGGAAGGAGATGTGTCCCATAAAGTCAACGTAGCCTTTGTTTTGGTCTTCTTGGGATGGAAGGTGCAGTGAAAGTATAATTACTTAATCTAAATCCAGCACAGCTGTCAATAACCATAAACATAACCTTAAGCCCGCCTTCCTTGTGTATCAGATATAAACCAGCTTGGGGCAGAGGATAGTTTGAAGCACTGGTAAGCAGGAAAAAAAAATTCATCATGTAATTCTTGTTTTTTAAAATAGCTTTATTCTTCAGAGTCTGTTAGAAACTGGACCTTCACAAAGGCTGCCCCCTCCATGTGAAAGCTTCCCTCCTTGTGTGCCCCAAGCAACAGCTCAGGAAGAGTTTAAGCTGACACCCAGATGTCTCTCTTGCTCTCTGCTGTCAGGGATCTTTGGACAGCGCTTGGAGGACACCGTACAGTACGAGCGGAAATATGGCCAGCGCTTGGCCCCACTGCTGGTGGAACAGTGTGTGGATTTTATTCGGGAGCGAGGTCTTACAGAGGAGGGGCTCTTTCGGATGCCGGGACAAGCCAACCTTGTCAAAGATCTGCAGGATTCTTTTGATTGTGGAGAGAAACCCCTTTTTGACAGGTGAGTTGATATCACCAAATTCAGGCTGGTGTATGTGTGACATGTAAAATCTGCCAGGAATGTCCATGCAGCGGCAATCCTAGCTTACATGTTCTTTCCACACCATCATTCTTTCTGTTGAAAGTGCTGATGGAACCTTCTCCCAGATGGTGGTGGGCGTGGAGGCCTTTATTCAGCTCAGTGGTGGGTGGAACAGAGCTCATGTGTGGGGGTCATCCAGTGTTTCAGCTTAAGCACATATTGAATGAAAACTGAGCAGTTGGTGGGATTCCATCACAGAAATTGGTACTACAGAGGTGAACTAGGTGATGCACTGGTTTCAGGTGTTGCATTCTCCCATCAGATCTGCCTGGAGCAATATCTTGACTCTTTGTCACCAGGTTTCAGAATAGTCACCCCTATCTGACATGTTTTACCTGGCCGTTGTGTCAGCAGCTGTTTTCTAGATGCTCAGCTTAATACCTGTTCCCATGGGAAGAGTGTCATCCCTGTCTCTGAGTGCTCCATCCAAGGGCAGCAAGGCAAGGGGCAGCTCTCAGCTGTGCTGACATTGGCCCTCAGGCATTTGGATGATCAGAAAGGTGGACACTGTCAAGGTCCTTCCAGCCAAGTGCTGTCCTTACCCTGTAACTAACATTTCATCCTCTCTGTCATATGTACATCCTGCCTGGAGTGAGTCAGCATTGTGCGAAGCTTAACAGACCTTTGTGAAATAAGGCTTGACCCTAACAGAGACCTTGAACTTGAGGGATATTTGGATCCAAGGGCATTGTTTAGATCTGGTCTGATCTCTATCACAGGTCCATAAATGAGATCAGATCTGGGATCTCGTCTTGGAAGCCTGGCACCATTTCTTGCAGGAACTCACCTAGCCCTGGTTTTCCAGGTGATGCTGGCGGCATCTGGTGTACTACCAACACATTAACCTTGAGGGATCTCTGCCTCTGGACCTGCAGCCAGTCTCAACATTGCCAGCATCTTCCCTGCCTACCACTGCACTGTCTCCTGCGTGGGCAGAAAGTGTGTTTGGTCTCATCTTGGGAAGTATATCTTCAGAGTTTATTTGGAACATTCTTCTAATTCTTCCCTTCCCTCAGCTTCCCAGACCACCCATCCTCCTTTCTTTGATTCCTAACCACAAACACTATTTGCTCCCTAAACGGAAGTGTCAAACATTTAGAAATATCTTCATGAAAAAATAAGTTTGAAATAATCATATTGTCTCAGTTAATCTTTTCTTAAACAAAACCTTTGTATTTTTAACTGAATGTCTGGTAGTTCAGAATTAGAATTATCTTAATTCAGTACTTACACTCTGGAACAGGAGTATCTATGAAGAAATTAATTAGGAATGAAAGTTTCAATTTAATGTTTTAGTTTAGCCTTACCTAACTTCATTGTTATGTAGATAAACCAAGCCTCCACCCAGAATTTTTAAAGCAAAATTCAATTGTACAATGGTTTGGATTGGAAGGGATCATAAAATTCATCTCTTTCCAGGCCCCTGCCATGGGCAGGGATACCTTCCTTCCTGATCAAAGGGATCAGCTTTCTCAGAACCCATTCAGCCTGGCTTTGAACACTTCCAGGAACTTCCAGGGGCATCCATAGCTTCTGTAGGCAACCTCTTCCAGTCCCTTACCACCTTGGGTGCAGAAATAGATCAGTGGTAAGTCTCCCTTTCAAGAGAGGCGCTAGGGACCTCCAGGAAGGAATGCCTACCTTTTGGGTAGTCACTGTGGAATGCAGTAAGTATGTTCAGTGCAGAAACAAAGGAAGCAAGCCTAGAGTACCTGAGTAGTGGAAAGTTGAGGGTGTCCCAGTTATTGCTTTTTGCTTTTTCCACCATGTCCCCACATGTACATACAGTAGGTCTTTCGTATTTGTAGTCACAGACAGTGGTAAGGGAGAGGCAATTCCACTATGGCTAAATGAAATGCTTTTCTTCCTGGCAACCATAATTTTCTCTGTGTGTAACTATAAATTATCTCTGTATGGCCTGGAATATCTTGACAGCAGAAGTGTGAAATCCTTATGCTTCTTTCCAAATCAGGTGCAGTGAAAGGAATATCCTTTCTTATTTCCCAGCTGCAGTCAGTGCTTTTAGATGTCTTTTGTAACTACAGTGATATCCCAGGTGCTTATAGCCTGCCCGCCCCATGGTGGATCAAACCTTTGTGACGACTGACAATTAAAGTATTTATTTTTAAAAGGCTTTCTTTTCCAGTGTTCCTATGAAAGGCCAGGTGGTACTGTTTTGGAAACACCTATAGTAGTCTGTTCCTGCTGCACTTTCATTCCACTGAAAGTCTGGCTGTATTTCATATGGCATCATGGATGAGACAGTTGCTACAGCCAGTGAGCCTGAAGCTCTGTTCTGGGCTCTGCTTCTCAGTGATAGATCCACCATCCATGCCTGAAACTTCACACTAAAGGAAAAAAATAAGAATACTGATCTCATTTGTAAAACACTATAATCAACTGAAGAAAACAACTGTGTGAAACTGTGGTAATCTCAAATATGATGGAGCTGTTTAATAGGAATAGCATTAGCAGGATTAGGAGTAAGTGGTATCTGCTGAGAGTTTCCTGTTGAAGTTTTTCCAGTTTTGTTTTAACCACATGTTCCAAAAAAAAGCCATACTAAGTAGAAGAGATTCAGCTTTTGGAGAGAAGAGAGGATTTGAAGCTCTCTTGCCCAATGTTCAGTGATATATTTTTCTCAGAATTCTTTAAAGACTGTCAGGGCAATGGTGGGTAGGGAGGAGATGGTGACAGAATCTGTTTAGACTTCCAACAGTCAAAACCTTGACCAGAGGAGGTCATCTGCAATGATTAACAGTGCTGTACTGCAGGAAAAATGGAATGAGAGAGAGGCACCACCATACACCAGAAGCTGGGTAGCTGGAAAAGGTTCGTCTTCATCATGGGATCTGACACCTCAACCCCAACTTTAAAGCAAGGGAGAAGGAAGAGGAAAAAGTTGCTCCTGCATTGGGAGAGAAAATAAAAGCTGATACCCTTTCATAACAGATGAGCTAGGAAATTCCAAATACCACAAGCCTGGCAGCCATACCAAAGGGCAATAGAGGACCTGGAGGAAATACAGCTTCCTCTGTTTTTCCTGAATGATTGACCAGGGCACGTGGGAGCCCAGCCTGTCAGCTGTATGTGTGTGCTGGCTGGGGAGAGTATCAGCAGGGATCAGTGAGAGGCTCAGAGGTTATGTTTCACGGAACAGTAGGGAAGAGCTCTGTTGTCAATGCTGTGTAATCACTGTGAACTCGCCTGGACTATTCCTCACATTCGTGGTCCACAAAGGCAGAGGAACCACAGTGTCGCTCTACCTTAAGCAGTATCATGGGCATATCCCTTCCATTGTCTGTGTCACCTGAGGACATTTCTATCCTGACACAATGGAGATTTCTCTTGTTCCCAGACAGACCTCCCTCCCTACCAGTGACTGGTAGAAGAGCTTCCTTCCATGTGCCTACTTTGTCCCTGTCCCTAAGAGGGACCTTGATGCACCCCCAATGAAGGGTATCAAGCTTTGAGGTAGTGTGGGTTTCTAAATTTCCTTCCCTCTTCTCTATTGCAGCAACACAGATGTTCACACTGTGGCGTCCCTCCTGAAGCTTTACCTTCGAGAGCTGCCAGAGCCTGTCATCCCCTTTGCCAAATATGAAGATTTTCTTTCTTGTGGACAGCTACTCTCAAAAGATGAGGGAGAGGTCAGTGATCCTTCTAATCTGCCTCCTCAGAGCATGTTCCTAAGAATCAATGTAGTACAGGTTTTTTTCTCATCTCTTCAAACTTAATTTAAATCAGTGAAGTCCCTGGGAACCTTTCAGTGAATTTTCCTGAAGCTGTGAATTGAGTACTGTTATCACAGGCTGCTGCTTAAAAAAAAGCCAGTCTTGTAGCCTGGTGCTTCTTTCTTCTGAGCGAAGCTCTTGTGTAGCATAATTGGCAAGAGATGCAAGGTAGGAGGAAATCTGGGTTCCTTTCCCAGCTTTGCTGTTCACTCACTAATAAGCTGTATGGAGTAACTCCCTTTGTCTGTGTTTTCCATTTTATATATCAGAACAGTATATTCTCCCTCCCAAAAATTTTGGTGGATGAGACATTGATCAGTGCAGTGGCCTTTGTCTTTCTTTGAGGAAAGGCACTGTGAGAAGGCAGGCTATGGTATTATCCTAGAATGGGGGAAAATAATGCTGTGAAAACTTTGTCAGAACTTTATGATGTTCTTCTCTTTGGTTTCCAGGCAAGGGAAAGGGCTGACAAAAACTACCAAGTCTGTGGCAGTCATGGAACAGGATAATTTACAATATATTTGATTGATCTGTTTCATCCATACTGTGGTGTTCCCTTAGCCCTTTGCATATTGCAAAGGCACGTTAGATCTGGTCAGATCTGTGGGTGCCACCTTCTAGAACAGAAATTTAAAGAAGCCGGAATGGCTGTTACTTGTGTCTTGTCTTTGCTAAAGAAGCAAAGGCCTGAGGGATTGTAAATTGTGGTCCACGGTTCTGTCGCTTTTCTGTGTGTGGTCTCGTGTTTGTCTCTGGCAGGATTTGTAGAAGCTGTTCCTCACCGCGAGTCTGGGGTTCACTTTCAGTTCAAGTGGCAGAAGGCTCTGTGGAAATTACCCTTTATGATGCCCGCAGGAAGATGTTTGTTTGCATGCATCAAATGCATCATATGTGGCAATATAAGTTTTTTTATGGTTAAAAGGCAAATAACACTCAAATAATATAACCTCTAGTTAACTGTGAGAAAGCAAATTTCTGTGCATGACACAGCATGTTACCACACGTGGATATGTACTTGCATTCTGGACATCAGGGTGCCAGTGCACTAGTGTTGTATTTTAGTATGGAGAGGTGTGTGTCTACTTCCTCCAAAACTTGTTCATTTTCTGCCTTATCCTTAGTGAACTCGGGAATCTCTGCAGGGTGCCATGTTACGGACTCCACAGTGGTTATGTCACAAGAAACAGCAGCATTTCTAAGGCGGTGGAGCTGGTTTGATTTTGGTCATAAGATGTGCAGACTGGGAAGTTTTGGATCCATTAAGCACTATTGCACAAGAGTAGAGACACTGCCAAATTGGGCAAACATAATTGTACATCACTGCTCAGCTTATTAACTACATTGTTTGTCTGATTTTGTCTGCACAGGCTGCAGCAGTTTGGGAAGCAACATCTTGTGTGAACAAGGTCAGACTCAAATGACTTGTAGAGCAGAATTCTCTTCAGATTAGAAAGGCAATGGGGTTCACTAGGTAGCCAAAATGAACACTTACAAAACACAGCACTGCTCATAGCACAAAGTTGTTTTGTTAAGGTGCTGTTGTAAACATAAGCAATTTTGGTTTTGTCAGGGAAACCTGGAACCTTAACGTGGGCTGTTTACCTTTTCAGAAAGAAAGGTGGAATGCACACACCAGGGTGGAGAGGTTGTACGTGCACAGTAGCACGAGGAGCAGAATGCAGCATAAAGTCATACCTAGCCTGTGGGGCCTGACTCGCCTCCCACATGGAAAATCCCCCTGCTCAGAAACATGGTTTCATTGAAACCATGATTTTTAACATGTAATGGTAAGCAGGGAATTTAAAAATCAAACATTTTATTTTGTAAAAGTATTTTGAAACAAAATGTAATCGTACTGGTTTAATTTGAAGTACTGTTTTCTTTTAATTTTTCACTTGAAAGTTTTGAATGAGACTTTTGGACTCTTAATATCTTAATATAGTTTTCATTTTGTACAGCCACCCTCACCTCACACCCAAAAATCCAGAATTGCTTACAGCAAAATAGCCTTTTGGATAAAATTGTTGGCACCTCATGCTGTTGTACTGTGACTATGGATAGGAATTATTGTGGTGATCATTAATCTGGCCTAGCTCCAGTACTGCCCCAAGTTTTTACTCAATTCAAGCAATTTTTATTCAAATTGCTTTTTATTCTGCACCCAGCTGATCTCTTGTGTTTGAATGCAAACAGGATCGTAACAGAGACCTTGGATGGTGCAGAGGTCTCCAGGTATTTCAGCAGGACTGCAGCATTAAAAAAATTTTGATTCTGATCCCAACTGATTGGGTGGAGGGTTTGAAAATTTAGAGCAAAAAATCTTCAAAAGCCTAAAAACTCATTTGAGCTGCCTTGACATGGTGGTATTTTAGCCTTCACTGCTACCTGTACTCTAGAGATGCACACAGCAGTTCAGTGGATTGCACACAAGGCTTCAAGTGTTTTTCAAAGAGGCATCTGAATTTTTTATGAACATCTGAAGTGTTGCTAGTTTTCCAGCCAAACTAGAAGATCTGAATTGGTGCTGATCTGTTACACACATTGCAAAATCCTTGGGTTTGGGATTGTTCATTGGAAAGCAGCATTTTCAAGGAGGTAAGAGTTATTTCTGCAAAATCCCATGATAAATAACAGTACAGTGCTTCTATTACTTGCAGGCAGCCATTGGCAATGATCAGTGCTGTTGGTTACTATAGAGGTTTCAAGCTTGTGTTTTCCTCCGTGCTGTCACTGTGGTGCTCCTAGGCTAAGCCTCTGGCCTTGGTGATGACAAATCTGGGAGAGTTGATAAAATGCTGCAGTAGGAGAGAGTTTGTTTTTTTTACCTGTCAGGTGTTTGTACTTTGAATATAAAGATACTCTCTGTGTAATACTGTACCTGAGATTCCTTGAAACAAAGCATGGATGATAAATTTTTAGAACACTTTTTTCTTTCAGGTAGCATCTTTTACCTCCAGGTCGTTTCCTGCTGTTCACAGCTGCCTAAGTTTCTGTTCCAAAGTTTTCTCTTACATCCAGTGGAGCCAATGGCATTTTAATTCAGAACACTTGAAATACAGTGCCAAGTACCATCCTGATTTCCCTATTTGAAATAAATTGGGTTACAGAGCAAAATTCAAGAGGGAATTAGGTCTGTTAGGTCACATAGTTCTGGTTTAAACTTGTCACTTGGAAGTTGTTTGACCTGAACAACTGACCTTAAACTTCACATCAGTAACAGTTATCCTTGATGGAAAAAAATTTAGAAGTTTAAAAAAGAGGATTGAGATTTTCAGAAGAGACTGGACTTCAAGTGGTGTCTCCATTGCTGTCACCATTAAACCAGCGTAGTGTTTAAGCTAAGGAATTATAAAGAGGTTACTGCTTTTAAGAATTTTAAGTTTCAGGTTTTTATTAGAGAACTTTTTTTTGTGCTGGGATCTAGAGAATAAAAAAGTACCTGTATATTTAAAGTAATAAGGATGAAGGCAGGAATGGGCACTTATGGATCTTTCTGACTTGTCTGGACCAGAGAAATCAGGAATACATTGCAAGAGTTTGGCCAACAGAATTCCCTTCCTTAAAAATTCAAGGAGAGTTTTAAATTAATGTTCAGCTGCACTTTTTTTGGGAACCATTTGCTTCTGGAATTTTTGCAACATCAGTTAGCAGCTACCACTCCTCCTTAAATGTGCTTTGGTATCTGTTTTTCCACAAAAGGTTTAGTTGTCTCCAAAAATAAGCAAATCTCCAGGGCAACAGCAGCATTGACAGGAACAAGAAGATGATACTTAGGATTGTGGCAGGACAATAGCCTCCTGAGTCAGAGGTTTTCATTAGATGATTTAAGTAGCTTCAGGGGTTTAAGTCATTCCTTCAGCTGATGTGTCATCTTACATTTTAATATAATGACAGAAATTTTGTGAGGAAGTATGTCCCAGGTCAGAATGACTGCAAATGGAAGTGCATCATTAAAAAGGAGGTACCTGAATTGGGCCCATTTCATTTAGCTCTTTTTTAAGAAAAAACTTTCCTCTGCTCAACTGATCACTACTGAAATGTGTTTATACTGCACTTGATGCCTTGAGAGAGGCATCCTGCTACCTAGAGCAGAGGCTAGTCAGTGTTAAAGGAATAAAGTAGGAATTTATTAACCTTCAAAGGATACACCTTGGGCAGTACAAGAGCCCAGCCGAGGCTCCACCCAAGATGGATGATGAATCACACTTTTTCACACCTTTATAAGTTTTGGTCCATCTCCATATTTGGCTTAATTGTCCATTTATAGCTTCAGGTTATAAATCCCATCTTCCCAGATTGCTCTCCTCAATTCACTGTTGTTTATACTTTTTGGGTCTGAAACTGCAGCGGAGCCCTTGGTTCTCAGGCTGGAAAAGGATTGTTTTGGCTAACCTGTGAAGAGAACTTGCTAACACTTTATATGAAGTTCAGAGTTATATACTAATGCAGTACAGAATCTGGAAAATAAGGAAGTTAAAACTTAGGGCATCACACTCAGTGTCCCCAAGTTTCAAACAGGCAAAGGTACATCTGCTGGTACACTGATACTGATGCCAGTGGGCAGGCTTTAAATGCTGGCAAGTCTCACTAAATGAAGGCTTCTATAGCAACCCTTAAAGTTTACAGGAGGATTTCCACTGAGAACAGAGTTCTGGACATTGCATTTTTGGTAAGACACAACACACTGGATGACACCTTTTCTAAAGCAAAACCTCTTTGTGTTATCATCTGTTGTTCAGCATTTGGCTGTGGAAAGAGGACTTTGTAGTCCTAAAGGAAAGTCAAGTCTGCTTTACAGCATTTACATTAATAACTCTGCTTCTTGTTTTTCCTGTCCCTCAGGGTACCCAGGAACTGGTTAAACAGGTGAAGAATTTGCCCCAAGCTAACTACAACCTCCTCAAATACATATGCAAGTAAGTGAAATTAATTAACACTTGGAAAAGTCTCTAAGTTTTGTGAAGATATCCTATATGCAAATAGTATAGTCTGAAAGTATGAATATTCAAAAACCACTTAAGTGTAAGTTACAACTTCTTTAAAAAATGTGGAGGTGAATGCAGCCTGCCTGAAGGAAGCTCTTGGTTTATCCAAGAGGAGCAGCCAAGCAAATTGCTGCCACCTGCAGCCTTGGCAGTAGGTATGAGTGATACTAATACATTATATTGTTTTATTTCAGAAGCACCTATAGATCATTAAAGATAGACACTTATTCCAGATACTGCACACCTGTAAGATTTATGAGACAAGTTGAGTAGCAGATGCAGTCAGAATAGCCAGTCTGGCATTTGCTCTGGTTTGGAAGTGGGGTCAGTAGTGGCTTCCTCTTTGATTACCAGGGACCCCACAGCCTTGTCTCCTTTCATCTCTGCTAATTTTCCCAGTTCTTGGGCTGCCTCTTTATCTGGGGACTGGAAGGAGATGATTTTTAAAGCTACTTCCATGTGACATGTATTTTGTTAAAGTAAAGCCAAGCCACAAAGCTCTTTCCACAGGCTTCTAGTTCTCAGACAAGGAGATGACTTATTGCTTCTGTTATATCTGTAAGTGAAAATTCACCAAAGTCGATCCATGTAATTTGAGAATTCCTATAAAAATGTAAAACTCTGTCCTTTAAGACCCAGTAGATGGCTGGGTCCCTGCTAGGTGGGTACTTCTGGCAGAAAACATCCTGTCTTCTCTGGTTCATATACTAGGAGGGATCTGGGGTTATACTGAATACCTAAGCTACTGCAGTTCCTCAAATCATTTCAGGTGTCAGGGTTGTATGAAAACAGAACAAAACTGAATGCTTATAGTCAGAGAAGTGACTTACTTATGAATTCCCTCCTCCTTTGATTCTTCTGGGGGGGCTTTTCAAGGTTCCTTGACGAAGTTCAGGCTCACTCCAGCATTAACAAGATGAGTGTCCAGAACCTGGCTACAGTATTTGGACCAAACATACTGCGGCCCAAAATGGAGGATCCGGTGACCATGATGGAAGGTAGGTGCTGTTCTGGTGGGATGGCACAGCAGCTGTAGTTTGGAGCTGTAAGTGAAAGCCATACATTCCTTGGTAGCTGTATCAGTTATCTGCACAGTCAGAACAAGTCAAGCCATCCCTTTCATCAGGGCCTGTGAGGGGTATTCCAGCTGGCATCTTATCCCTCTCACCACTGGACTGGGAGAGTCTCTCCTCTCCACCATGTGCCCCTGAAACTCTTTTTGAACCTACTGCTAAAATGAAAGCTCCACTGTTTCTTCAGAAGGACTGTGCTTAAGTACCAAACTGTAATCATTTAATATTGGTGCATTTCAGTGGTTATACAGCTCCCTGTAGACAACATCCGGACCATGAGGACTGGAGTTCTGGCTGTGCCACAGAAGCTATAACTAGAAGTGTCTTAGAAGTGTTGTCTTCTAAGAAGACTGTATGGATCAAAACTTCACACAAAACTTAAAAAAAAAAAGGAGTTGATAATCACTTAATTTTGGATGTAAAAAAATCTGAAGCTTTAAAATTACTTGCTTTCATATGAGTCAAGCAGGCTGACATTAGGGCTAGGATACAGCTCCTCTCCCAGGTTGCATTGAAACACTACTGTGGTGCAAGTTTTAGCAAGATTTTTGCATAAGTTTTGTAGGATTTTGGCAAGTCTACAAAAAGGGTTGATGAATTAATTAGGCGCAGATGGAGATGTTGTGCCCAGGATACCTGAACTTGGCTCTGATTCTGCTCCCTAGCTGTAGGGGACAGCAGATGTGGTATTTTCTGTGATGCAAATCCTTCACAGAAGGCCAGTATTGTCATGCCTTAGCAGCAGAAATGCCTTTAGCTCTTCACAGGTGATGTGCAGATGTGTCCCCCAGGATGGCAACTCACTGCAAGGCAACAGGACAACTTCAGAGCATGACATGACGTATTATAGTAGTTCAGGGACTTAAAGCCTACCACAGAGATGTGGGTCATAGTTTTAAGGGTGAATTTGATACCTTCCCCTGGAGGTGCAGAAGGTACAAAAATCGTGAGGAGAAGAAGGGAGTGCGGCAGCAGTGCTTGTTATTCAGTGTTGGAGGAGGGGACAGCTGAAATCAGCCTGTGTGCGATGCTGGGACTTCCCCTAGTGGCCACCGGGCCAGCGCTGGCACGGCTCTCGCAGCCTTGGCCAGCAGCGTGCTCTCTGCTCAGCTGGCACAAGGGACAAATTTGGGTTCACATCACCTCAGGCATTTAATTCTGCAGCTCATCCGAGGGCAGAGGTGCCTGTACTGTGTGTAGGTGCACACGTGCAGGTGCTGGGGTCTCTATGAAAACACTACAGTGATCTGACCAGGAATTCTGTATTGCCACAGATTTGAACTGAAAAAACTGGAATTTTTCAGTTTCAGTTTTCAATTGGAAAATTGGTAGAAAAATTAGGATATGTGGGCTGGATTTTTAGACTTAATCATTATACTCATAACAGGATTGGCAATGTTTTATTTTAGTAGAGAATTTAGTTGAGGTTGGTTAGATAAAAGTAACAGAGAAGTGGACTCAACTTTTTTTTTTTAAGCTTCAGGGTAATTTGGATCTCCTAAATAAACTGATAATGAGATCTTAACAAAAAGCACTCTAATTGTGTCTCTCTTAAAATTTAAACCATGTGTTTCAAATGGAAGTATCCAAAGTTTGACAGCTTTGTTAGGAATTGTTAGGAATGCCCTTATTTTCAAGACATTTAGTTCTCTTCCTGCATTCACAGATATAAAATAGAAGTGGTAGGTGAGCTCAGTACATTTTGCTATTAGGTCAAAAACTCATCAATAAAATCAGGCTCTTGCCTTGAACCCTGAGTATGTTTGCCTTATTCTCTATTTCAGGCAACACTTAAAAATGGAATTGCTTATTCACCCTTCTAAAGGTTTTCCTCTGTTGTAGGAAGTGCTTTGTATTAGGTTTGGTAAGTGGTGTTCTCTGTTAGTTCATAATGGTTTACTCCACTCCTGGAGAACGGTACCAGCACATTTCTGAGGATTTAAATAATTGTGAGCACTTTCTGCACTTCCTGTACACCCTCTGTGAGTGCAGATATAATATATATATATAATAATATATATATAATATAATGCAGATGTCATGCTTCCTGCAAGTTTCTGTATACACTGAGTGTAGCAGAAGGCCTGAGCTGAAATTTGTGATTTTTCAGTAAGCAGTAGCTCTGGGCCTGTTCAGACCAAAAAACTGGGTGCAACCCAGTCATGCAAACAGGCTGGGGTGAGTCGCAGAGGTCTTCCATGTCTCCTCACCTGCTTGCCTTTGTTTTCCATCCACAGGCACCTCGCTGGTTCAGCACCTGATGACAGTGCTGATAAGTGAACAGGGGCGGATCTTTGCTGTTCCTCAGGGGGATGTGCCAGGGAGCCAGCTGGAAATCAGACCCGTGCGCCAGCGCAGCACTGTCGAGTGGATCTCCGAGGAGGACGGGGAGGACAGCAGGTCACAGAACAGCGCTGCCAGCCCCGCTGATTTGCCATCTGGCAATGCTGTGGCTCTAGAGGCCACTCCGGGACCTGCAGTGAAAATCACTCCTCCAGAGCACAGTGGCAAATCGACTCAGCCTGCCACGAGCCCCAGTAAAAGAGTGCAGACACTGCCTCCGTGGAAATATTCCTTCCGCCAGCAGGGAGCACGCTCTGTGAGTCCGAAGCTGGGCAGCTCATCCTTAGATATCCCCAACCTCTCCTCCAGTGGGAACTGGTTGATGAACGGCCTGTACTCTCTCCGAGGCCACCGCCGGACAGCTTCTGGGGAACGAGTGAAAGACTCGTGTTCCTCCCAGAGACTCTCTACTTATGACAATGTCCCTTCATCCAGCCTGTCCCTCAGCACACACAGCATGGCCAGCACCACCTGGTCTACATCATCCTGTGAGATCTCCGTGATGGACTCGGTGAGCAGCTGCCCAGCCTGCCGGGCCAGTGACTCTTCTGCTTTAAGCTCCCTAAAAACCGAGTGGGTAACTCAGGGCTCGCTGTCTCAGAGCGAGGTCAAGACAGCAGATCTGGAGAACAGCACGGACAGGTTTGAAGCCTGCAGCAGCAGCAGCAGTGAACAGAGTGACCCAGCTGCAGCTTCCCGAGACTCTGTCCAATGCTCCAGGGCCTTACAGAGCTTGGTGGTGGAGCTAAAGACAGAACTGAGCAAACAGAGGACTGAGTATGAGACTAGTATCAAAAGGTAATGTCATCTGCAGGGGGCACAAGGAAGTTGTCTGTCAACATTCTCCCTGTCAGAACATGGGTGTGGGCTACCAAGGGTATCAGGTTCTCAGCCCTGAAATTTGGGGTTGGGTGACAGCAGATTTGGTTCTACTTTTTCCTTGCTACTCTCTGAATCCAACTTTTCTTTCTCTGATTTAAGAAAGCAACAAAAAAGAAAACAAAGGGGGATTTCTATGACACAGGGAAATCAAATACTTCATATTCTGTGTTTTCACTGTAAATGAGAACTGCACAGGTAATGCCAAAACTATTTCTTAGTGTTCTCAGAGAAATAGCAAAGCAAACATCTTGTAGGGAGGAATTGGGACCCAAGATGGTCAGGCCTCAACAAGGATGATCTGAGCAGGTGCTGATACTTGTACCAGACCAGTCTGAAAAAGAGGGCTTCTTGTTCTTTTCCCAACAGCAGCATTCTTGAGGAAACTGCTCTTGACTGTTTTCCACATTTTTTTTTTTGGGGGGGTGATGGTATTGGGACTGCATCTTAGCTATAGTATTTTCAGCAGCCCTTTTGTGCTGAACTTCTTGAAACCTCACTTTTGGTTTCTGATGTAGAGAGTGGTCCTTGGCTGATGGAGTAGCCTAGCTTGGGGGAGCAGTGTGAACTGTGCCATGTGCCAGCTGGTGTTTCTTTGCATAACTGCTGGTGCTGTACTTTCCATCCGAGCTCAGAAAAAATCCTTTCAGTTTTCAGGAGAGCTGTGTGTAGGGCTGGGGCTGTAGGAAGTAGAGAATATTAATAACAAGGGAGTCATTAATTTGTGTGAGTATATTAGGTTTTATGAGTGTATGTGATAAGATTTTTAGGAAAGCATTCAGGGAAATAGGCACATGAAATATTGATGCTTAAAGGAATTAGATATATTTTAATATATAGCCATGTGCAAAATTGCACACCATATTATAGTACAAGCTACTTTGCAGCACCAGTACTCTGCACTGAAAGGCAGTAGTCCCATTTCTTAGAAATAGTTGAGTTCTTGGGGTTTGGGGTTTTTTTGTGTTAAGGTGTTACTGTTATACTCCTTCAGTTATTAAAACTCAGATTGGAAATTGAGGTATGAAAATGCTGCCAGTCTCCCAAACATGGTACCAAAAGCACATAAGACTGATGGGATTGTATAGGACAGCTTTAGGCTGCGTTTTTTGGCACTTTTTTCTTAAGGTAATTTCTCAAAAATGTATCTGAACTGTCATTCTTCTCATGGGCCAGTTGTTAAGGTAGGAATTCCTCTTGCTATCTTTCTGCTTTATGATTTCCTCTGGTGGTGGCTTGCCAGCCTGTACTGCATTTCTGCCTCTTGCACTGCACTGCCTTGGTGTGTGGAGCTGGAAGGAGAATCAGGCTGTGCAGCAGTTTCAGCTCCCACCTAACATCCCCGAGTGGGAGAAAAGCCCCACCTTGTTGTGTACAGGTGTAAGAGCTTATGAAGCACCTGCAGTTGCTAGCATGGGATGTTGTGAAGGGTCTGTGAATGAGGGTGGAGGTTCATGGCTTATATGGTTTGTTTTTCTAGCTGCCCTACTGATGCAAAATGTGAGGGAGGTGAGGGTATGTGCCTTACATTTAATTGTGCAGAGCTGTCCTGGCAAGCCTTGTTGCAGGGATACAGGTTAATAAACAGAAATACCAGGCTGCAAAACCTGGAAATGTGTAGCTGCACATTCTTGCCTGCTGCCTGGGGGAAGACATGGTTTTCCACCTCTTATCAGTAAACCTGTTCCAATGGAGCTTTAAGCTGCTGACATCAGGGGCATCCAGGAAGACCTGTTCTTCATTCCAGCTGCTGGCTGCTTCAGCTCCCATACCTGCCTTTCCCCTGCAGCTGGATGGAACAGAGAGCACTGTGGCTCGAGGGGAGGACTCTAAATTGGCCAGGTCTCACAGGGCAAAGTAGCTGAGAGGAAAATGCCTAATGAACTAAAGTTTCAAAAAACCAGGCAAGATGCAATCGCTGCCTTTTTGTATTAAACAGGATGACTCCAGCTGTTCAGGATTACAGCCTGAAGGACTGTGCTGTCAAGTCTAAGAATTTCAAGCCAAGTTTTTCAGCTCTCAAAAATTTTGCAATGTTTTTACTACATCTGCAGCAATTTATGGGTGCAAAAGTATGTTCCTTTATAGACTGCATGGAAGTCTGCTACTACGAAAAGACAGGAGCTAACTAGCAAAGGGAGGCTGCTTAGCACAAAAGATATAAGCTGCTGCACCAGCTTTGATTTATTGACGATAATTTAGTCCCCCAAAAATGCACATGTGCTTGTGTGGTTTGCAGAACTGTGTGTATCTAGCAGGACATGTTTTAATGAAAGAATATGAGCTTTTTTGTTGGCATGTACATAAGTGAAGGGAAAGCAGAGTGAGTACCTGCCTGGGGCAGAGGTAAGGAACACTTGCTGATAGAAAAGCTGTTATTTCTCATCAACTGCCCATTTTCTCTCTCTTAGTCAGAGGGAGGCAAGTTTTACAGCCTTCCTGTAACCACTCTGTTCCAGAGCATTTCTCCCTCAAGGTAAATATAATTATCTGACATTCTCTGTTGAGTTTCAGTAGTTCATGTTTACCACATGGGACTCTCTTAAGAAAGTGTAAGTATTTGGAGAGGACTGTTAATGAACGTAGAAATGCTGTAAGTACCGTGACCCTGTGTAATTCAGTGCAGGCTGCTGTAGTTGACCCCTAAACTCAGTGGTAGAAAATGTAATTGGCAGCTCAGAGCTGTAATGTGTGTGTGTGGGGAAGCATCCCAGCTTCAGAAGTGTCATATTCCAGCTGACAGCTGGCTGGGGATAAAGGTCTGCCTTCATCCACAGGATGCTTTTTGCTGGATTTGGTGGAGGTCAGTGCACCTGTGATTTTGATTCATTGTGAAAACTGTGGCTATAATCAAACTACCATCTTTACCTGTATGTAAAGGAACAGAAAGGATAAGTTTAAGGTGAAGCATTGCACTGCCTCTTGGTCATAAAGCAGAATTCAGACCCTTCTGGGACTGCCCAACACCCCTTTTTTTTCCATTCTTGCTTTTTTATGGAGGCAGCAGCGTGACCTTCTTGATAATCAGTTACCCTGACTAAACCCCTTCACAGTTCCACTGGGATGCTACACACCAGCTTCCAAATTGAGTATTGGACTGATCAAGGAGAGGTGGGGGTGATTTTGTATTGGAAATTGTTAGGGTTGTATTTATTTTATTTAGAGGAAGGGAATTTTTCATTGTAAAAGCCTAATTTTTAAATTTACATTCTAGTAATCAGTAATTTCTATCTGAAAATATTCCTTCCTCAGTCTTAACACCACTACTTTGGTCTTGTGATTGGGAAACAAAGGGGGAGAACAGCAAGTGCTGTGCCTTCTGTGCTTCTTTGAAACCACAAAACCATGAACCTTGTTCTTGGACCTCCTGAGTGAAAAGCTCTGAATTTTGCTTCAGCGCTTTGTGCACAGATACATTTAAGAACTGTTCTTCTGATTCTTCCTCATGTGAAAATTTGGCTTCATGAAATCCTGTATCCCACCCCAATGTCAATGATAAACTTTACAGAAAATACCATCAAATGGATGGTGAGGAAGGACTGCAACCTCATTCCTATCTGATCCCTAAGGAGGTTCCTCTGTACTGGATGGCCATATAGGGAAACACAGTATCAGGGTGAAAACAGAGATTAAAAGATTATTTTGGAATGATCTACTTGAACTGTGCCTAAGTGAGGAGTTAATACATCTCCTTAGCCAGGCAGTCTGGTACTGATAAGTATGCATTGTTTTGTAAGATCTGAGCATTTTTCTCGAGATGCAAATAAAGGAAGCTCTAGCTTTCAAGGAATCCTCTGCCCTTAAATACAGCAGTATTGAAATGCCATTTAGTTATCTCCTTTAAAATTTAAGTCTTTGAATATGTTAAATTTAAGTTGTTCCTCTAGAGTTTTTATAGTTATCAGCTGTATTTATCCAGCCACTTTATAAAGCCTTTTTTTTTTTTCCTCTCTCTGTTGGTTTTAAGAATTGAAGAAACAAGTGCAGACCTGAGGAACCAAGTGGTTAGGTTAGAAGAAGAACTGGACCAAGAACGAAAGAAATACACAATGCTGGAGATAAAGCTGAGGAATTCTGAACGCGCTCGGGAAGATGCCGAGAAGAGAAATTACCTCCTGCAGAAGGAAATGGAAGAATTTTTTTCAACATTAGGATGTTTAACTGTTGGGAGTCAAAGTGCTAAAGTCCCCAAGTAGAACAAGTATAGAAAATCCTGTTCCTGGCAAAATGAGTGAAAATGCGTATTTTGTTCTGGTATACTCATGTATCATGAGTAATGCTATAGTGATTGTGCTCTCAGTGACACTTGCCCCGTTGTCTTTTCATGTGCTATAGTATTTGGGCCAGTTGGGAAAGACTGTGGACTATAAAGCTTGAAAATTTAGTGTCAGATTGCCAAGAAAGAGTGGGTCCCCTCTGTATCCACAGAACTTAAGATACTCTTCTCCAGAGTGCCCTGCTGCCATCTTTGGAGTCAACTGCACCATCCTTTTGCTGGCTCAAGAACAGTGGAAGGTCCTGCAGGGTGGGTGCATGGCCAGAACCAATAACCAAGCTGAGCATGAGCTGAGGGATTCCCACACTTGTGCTTGGGAAGGCGGCAGTTCCAGTCTGTCACCACAGCTGGGAGGTTTGACAGACAGATTTAATGAGGTGGTTTTTGCCCCACTCCCTCCATAAAGTTTGTTCAAATTTCTCATTCAGAGTGGTATTATTTTATGAAGATATTATGAAAACAAGGTCTGCAAACATGCTGAGGATATCAAAATTTTGAAAATTCACTAAAATTGTCCCTTACCCACCAAATGGTTTCAGTGTTTCACAAAAATGCAGCTTTAAATTAAACTTGATTAATAATCATATTGATTACACAAACTCTGTGGAACTTTAAATATGCACATTTTGCCCTAGGTATCTGAGGGTTTTCTGAGCCAAAAATAGAGCAGTATTAGCTGCAAGAAAAAAAAAATCTGAGTCAATAGATGTATTAAGGTAGAAGATGCAAGATTCATATCATCAAAACACATCCAAATTTTAATAGCAAAACTTATGGTAAGAGGAATTAGTGCAATTGGGGTGGGGGATGTCGGTGGTAACGGGGGGAGGGTGGGGATCTATCCTTAACCTTTCCTGGACAATGTACACTTACCTGCCTTGTAACATTTCTCTTGATACCAGCTGATATTTTTGTTGTTAGTTCTTACAGGGAGATGAGGGGACAGGAAGAATACTGCAAACAACCCATCATCCCAAGTTCCTTCTGCTAAGGAAAAATCATTAGAATGAAGCTGTAAGTTCCGGTTATTTGCTGACAGGGCTGACTTCCATTCCAAGTGATTTAAAGAAGTTCTGCATAGCATTTGTAACACACTGAGCCATGCAGAGCCTGCACACAGAAAATGGTTTCACCAGATTCAGTTTGAATTCCACATGTGAGCCCAGCACTGTTCACTCTGTCTTGGCACTCTATCTTTGACATCCTGAGGTAGTTTGGGAGTCTCTAAGGATAAAAGAAGTGCCACAACAACCTGAACTGGCTAATGGGAAAGTACAGACTGTAACAAAGAAGACTGCTTTATTTTAAGTATTTTGAAAAACGCCCTGAATCTCATTTCTTACTCTAGAGAAGACTATGACTCACTGTCTGGAAATAACCTTAGAATGGGTTTTTTACATACCAGGAAATAGTCAATACTGAAAGATATACGTTCTCCTCATCATCATACAGACATCCAGCTATTTCAATATTTAAAACATCTGGGTGTTAACTTGTTTCTACTGCACTGTAACACTTCTCCTTCCTATAGAAATGTAAAAATTTTAAACCGTTTAAAGCAAACAAAAAGCAAAATTTTGACCTAATCTTTCCTGGATAAGGAAGGAAGCAAGCAAGGTGGTACAGTAAGCCATGTGGAAAGGTTCATTCAGTTATTTCAAAACCTTTTTCCTACTTCCCAGGCTCTCCAGCTGCCCTGGATTCTTTACCGCCCCTGGCATAAGGCAGGTACCTGCATGCTCAGCAGCAGTTGCCTGCTACCTGCAGGTATGAGCATCATCCCCATCTGCTTTTTCCACCTCTGCCTTGGATTCATTACCAATGGTCATATGTGACCCTTTAAGGAATAAGATGGCCATTTAAAACAGCAGCATCAGATGCATAATGTGAGAGAGAAGCAGTAACAGTGACTGAGCTGGAAAAGCACAGCCTGGCAGGTAGCTGGAGGTACCAGGTCAGTCATCACAAAATAAACCTTAACTTGGAGGGTTGTCTGAACCAGGTCGTAAGTAGAAGACCAGGACTGATAAACAGCAACATTCAATCCAAGTACTAGTAGCAAGCAGGGTATTTTAATCCCTTATTTTATTTCTACCCAAAACACGGAAGCCTTTCTGTATCCACCCTGCCAGCCCACACCTCCCTTACACCATTTATATTGCATTATCTCCTGTATGTATTGAGTGCAGACTGCTCCCTTTAGTTCACACTACAAACTCAAGAACTGAGCCCTGCTGACTGGAAGACAAGACATCAAATACACCAGAGACAAGCTTAACTCTCCTAAGTATTTAACCTTAGGTAACAGCTAACAAACCCACCTATCCCAAACTTGCAGATCCAGGATAGGATCATGAGCTCTGTAGCACTACATGATCTGGTATCCAAGATAAAATTAATTCTTTTTGATATACAAAGAAACCCCATCCACTTAAAATGAGGCGTGAAACAAACCAGTTCCAGACTGGCTCTTGTGCTCCAGCAACATCTATGGGTCTTGTTCATGAGGAATAAATTTTAGCTGCTTTTGAAGATGAGCCACTGCAGTATATAAACCTGGCAAGAAGCTGCAAACAATGCAGTTCACACTAAAATGCACCACAGTGGATTCAGTTTAACTTCAAGTGCAGCAACAGGACCATAACACTAGATTCCTGATATGGGCAATTATGCAAGAAATGAGATCCACTTGTACAAAGCTTCAAAGAAGACTATGCCCTTATGAGGAAGATGATACACCCTTTCCTGCCTTTAATTCCTGTTTCCATACTCTTCCCCACCAATACATTTCCCCACAGCAAGCACTGGAGACCACTCCTTATTTTGCAGACATCCCACTCATTACAGTCCCTCATTTAAACGTCTGCTTTCTTAGCAAGTGTTTACACAATACAGGTTTGGTTATTATTAATTAAATGTGACAGAAGGTTCCTGGAATAGATAAATTTTTACCACAGTTTCATCTGTGCCATCTTCCCAGCCTGGAATATCTCTTCCTGTATTATATGGGAAAAAAAAAAAAACAGTAAGAACTTTTCAGTGAAGAAAGAAAAACAACACAAGCATATGCTTTAAAAAAAAGCAAAACTGCAACACTTCAGAATAACAAAGAAAACTTTGGTAGGCCATGGCAGTTCTAACACAAAACCAGAAATGAACAGGGATAGCTTAATGACTTATCTATGTTCACAAGCAAGTTCTACTGAAGCCAGCAGCATTATGGCGTGTTTCAGCCCGAGCCACCAGACAAACTCTGGGCAGAGCTATGACTTTCTCTGGCCTTGCTCTGTAATAACATAGCACTGGAAACTGGCTGCACTTTATACTGACATATGCAAATTAAGAGGAGCATTTCTGAGTGCCACCACTCCTAGAAGAGCATCCCATAAACTGCTGGCCCAGATAAAAAAAGCTGGCTACACGGTGGTCACAGTTGCTTTCCCTTGAAACTGGACACAAAGGCACCACCAACACAGCTCACGGGCAGCTCCAGTCATTAAGGAAGCACTGGAATCCTGCTGGAAGTGAAGGCAATCAAATACATTATGTTGGGACTTACCTGTGGGAGAAGTGCCAGTGCAGTGAGTGGTCCAGGCATCCAAGTCAGCTCTCCAGAAGTCAGATCCTTCAGGCTTCTCCAATATGCAGTGTTGAGACTCTCCCATACAGTAGGCAGCCCATGGCTTACCTTTCAGCAGCACAGGCTCTCAGCAACTGTAGTTCCAGGAATTCCTGGAATGTAGTTCCAGCTGGAGCTGGCAGCAAGGAAGCAAGAATGGATTCCCACTTGAAGCAAAGACCCTGAACCTGTGGCTGTTAACAGTCTGTGGCACATCCAAAGTCCATGGGAATGGAGAAACGGAAAAAAAACGTCACTTTGCCCACAAGTGAGCTCACACACAAGACAGGACACTACCATTAGAAAACAGAAGAATTCTCAGGAAGGAGTCTCACTAATAAGATTTCAAATGCAGCCCTATTACACAATTCATACGAAATCCATCACAGCCTGGCAATGAAGAAACACTAAATGCATGGTGGTCAAACTTTTTTTTTTCTTTTTTATTTAAAATATCATTATAACCAACTGACATACTAGATAACAATGTATACATTCCAGTGGTGCACATGTAATGACCTATGGCATGAATGAGTTAAAAAACCCCACAATGTTCTCAGTAATGCCCACCAACAGCTTATTTGGAGGGAATAAAGGAAAAGCAGGAAAAGGTATCAAATGTGGGGAAGAAAAAAAATTAGTTTTCCCCAGTATTTTTAATGGTGTATCTTCCCCTTCATATTTCTTGGGACATAATAAAATTAAGGATATACTTCAAAAAGGGCAGAAGGAATGATAACAATAATTGGGGTGGGATTTTTTTTCTCAACTTTAGTAATAAAAGTTAAAGAACTCTCAAAAATAGACTAGATATTGGGCCTACAAAAGTAATTCATCTGTATGCAAAGCTTACCAAGAATTATTCCTTTTGTAAAATGTAAAGGATGAGCTGACATTACTAGTAAGCTATTTTTACCCTACAAAACCAGACTACAATAATAAAATCACCAATTTACAGCTAACACAATAATCTAGATGTACATTACTGTACACAAGCTCTATATTACACATGAACGTCCTATGTGAAATAGATAAGAAACATACTGATATTGTCTCAACATTGGCCAATATGTTTGTTTTTCTAATGGAGGTGTATTTTCTATTCACATTCAGTGTAGTTCCAATAGCAAGGGTTAGCTTTGCTTACTTAAGAAACGTAGAAAGTTTGTGTGAGGTAGTTCAAGAAAACCTAGCTTAAATTTTGAACTGCAGAAGAGAAACACAATGTGATCTGATTCATAACACATTTCTCTAATGTAGACATACAAAGAGAAGGGAGTGAGAGAGACCACTTAAAATAC